TGTGCACAGAGGAAATGTGAGCTTTATATTTAGCAAATGCTTATAGAAATTGAATCAGTTTTCAATAAAGCTGGGCCAAGTCAAACTCGAGTTATGCTACTGTACCTTCCCTGGCTCTCCAGGTGGTTGGAGGAGCAGCCAGTATGATCAGACAAAGAGCTTTCCAGAGTAAAGTACAAGTGTTGAGCTCCTCACTTTGGGTATCTCTTGGTCCCTCTTCCTGGTTTCTAGTAATCATAATTGCAGCTGGTTTGAATTTAGCTCCAAGTCATACATTACATGGAATTGAGTTTTATGTAATAGCTAAGAAAATTCTGAATTCTTGCTTCCATTTCTTTCTGTGATGGGCTCCTCCTCCTCTAGGTCAGTGGTGGCGAGCCTATGGCATGTGTGCTGCAGCTGGTGCTTATCATTGAAAGGTCTCAAAGGTTTACCATCACCACTATAAATCACGGCATCAGCTATGCCTTGCCCTTTGCCCTACTATTTCCTGCTTCTCTTACTGTTGTCAACTATATAAAAATCTATTAAAAGCTAATTGCTTCTTGGCCTTTTGGCTAAGATCAAGTGTTTTAAAAGAGATAAATGAAGTTAACTTTTATGTTACTGATATCTTAATAATGCATTAAGTAAAAATTTGTGGAATATATAGAAATATGTGAACCTACCTGTGTGATCCATGTTATTTGGCATATAATATAAAAATAGGGTGTTCAAATTTACAGAATTTCTGAATAAGACTAACAGACTATAAATAGTCACTCTGCTACCAGTATGTAAATAATTAATTTTAAACTATGTTCAAAATAAAAATTCAGTGACCACCTCCCCAATTTCCCTTTTAATCTGAAACTTTATATTTAATAAGACAAGCAATAGAATGTTGTATTTACTCGTTGAATACAGGCAAGCAGTGTTAGTTTTCAAATAGTTTTCCCTTTGAATTTTCATATGACGATATCCCATGCCTTTGTAATATATACACATATATTTTTCAACAAGCCGTGAACAAATAAGTTCTATGAAAGTACAAATGCATTGTAAACCATGGTCCTGACATAAGCAGCTTAGTTCCTAGTTGGATTGTAGAGCAATTTTCACAGCTTTTAAGGCAAAACAGAAACTTGTAGCAGTGACAAATTATACCATAGAGACCCCTTAAACACTTAGCTTTGGTGAACATTAAACTTGTCTCTTCAGCAGGTTTATTGCAGGATTAGGAACTTCCTGGAGAAAGATTCACTCTGCCTTTGGCATAAATTTGGCTTCTGCTAGATTTATAAAGGGTACTAGACAGAAATCACTCAATTTTTTTGAAAGTTTACTCCAGAATTTTGAGTCTGTACTTACTGATAACACAGACATTACTTCATTGTACTTTCAAGTTGACCACCAAAGAAATCCAGATTCATGCTGAACTCAATGATTCCAATCCCTTGTGGGTAATTCCATGTTCACTGAGAAATAGTTTTAACTCTTTGTGCTCACCAGTGTTTTGCTGATTAAGTGACAGAGGCAGTGTTGCTAAGACTGTGAACCATCTATTAAAATTCACATCCACAGTTTAAATATGAATTCAATTCTCAATATGCAATATTTTTTAAAAAGAGCCAATATATTTGAAATACCTACTTGCTAAATTAAGAGTCACAAGGCCAAATAATTTTACTGTTTTTCCTTAAGTTTTAAATACAAATTTTGCAACTGTTGTATAAAATTAGATCTAACATGCTCCATAGTTGCACTGCTTAGCCATCATTCTGATGATTTATTCTGTAAGTACCCATTAAGCATGATTCCCAGGCATTGTCTTAAGTGCTAAAGATAAAGTAGTGAAAGGGAAAAAATTCCTTGCCCCTTGGAAATGTACATACTGGTGTAAAGAAATACATAAAATAAGGTAATAAAGTGAAATGGAGAAGGCAAAGCAGAGCGGGTAAAGGAGGGTGGAGGTAAGTGCCATTTCTGACAGCCGGAGAAAGCTTCATTGAATACAAGAACTCAAAGTCTATAAGAGGGGAGAGTGTGCACTTGAAGATGAGCGGGAAGAAGGAGGAGCATTTCTGTGTGAAAGGTTAGGAGAACGAGCTATTTGTTGGTCAGACAGTGAAGAGTGTGTGGTGGAGTGGAGAGAGCTGGAGTTAAGCATGTGATCCCAGAGGAAGTGAAGAGATTCCTGGATTGATGGAAAGAGGAGCCAAACAAGACTTTGCTAATAGATCAAATGAGTGTGAGAACAAAGCAGGAGTGAAAAAGGATGCTAGCATTCTAGTCCCAAATATTTGTTAGGAAACCAAAATATGAATCTTCATTTAGTTGGAGCCTCTATATTTTTTTCTTTCAGATTCAGTGAAAATCTGTTTCTCTTGTCTATAAAAAGAACTACATGACATACATAGTATTTGTTGGAGTATCAACAAAGTTTTACTGTACTGTAACATAAAACAAAAATTCTGTCGCCAAATGTTAATGAAAATTAAGTTATCAATTTCCCAGGTTCTGAACAGGAGCCCTCTCCTAAAGTGCAGTCCACATATAATAAAAGCAGAGGGAGTCTCAAGTTTGAAAAATAAGTAGAACAGAAGCAGTTTCTTGTAAGTAACTTTACTGGGTCATGAGACAAAACTCAGAGGAAGGCTAACCTAAGACTGGTTGATATTATTACTGAGCAATGCAAGGTCCTGAGAATCCAAAGGAATATGACACATTTCTGTCTTTGAGAGGGACCTTTAAGTCTCATGAAAGCCCTTTGTCTTCTATAGCCCAGTGGGCAATAAGGGTACTATTTATATGATTTATGGAGATTTGTCACTAGTGTAACTTTCAAAATAGATATTGACATATTAAATGTGGATAGATAATAGCTATTTCTATGTGTATTTTATGTATAAAGAGACCAATTTATTCATATTTTTATCCCAGATTTAAATTGCTGGGCTACTGTGATTTGTAAGAGCAATAATAAACTAAATTTATACAAACTACTCAAGTTTTTTGTACAAGAAAGTTCATTTAGTACTCAAGGTACTGATATCATTCAAGCTTCCTTGAAAAAATCTCCACAATGAATAGTAGAATCCAGCAACTCTCCTAGCTTTTCTGGGAGTTACCAGCCACATTTTAAATGTTCCTTGGCTGTGTGACAAATCTCCAAAAAAGTTTGGAAGCAACTCTGTGAAGACTCTTAATCACTTCTCCTTTTGTCACTCATAACCCTTAGCTGCCCTTCCAAGAAGAGACCCCCTTTAGAGCAACTTGCCATTGCTCCAGCCGTTTACAGTGGAACTAAGGGAAGAGTCTGCATTCCTGAGGGTCAGGGATCTGCCTGTACTCTTACTGACAGGCTTCCTCAGCAAGGACTAAGGGGACATTGAGCTAGCATACCAAAGTGAGGGAAGTAGAAGACCTTTGTTGAGGATTGTTAGTAATGTTCCTAGAATCCTGTGCCTAATAGACATTTAAACCATTTTCTTCCATATACCCAGTAGAAGGTAAATTAAATAATCTGCTTGTTTCTGACATGTTATTATGAGACTTTATTGTTACTTCATTCATGAAAGTTCTTGAGTTACCCTTTCCTGTCCTAGTTCTAAGCTTCCTTTAACTCATTCTGGAATAAGGCAAAAAAAATCATAAATTCTAAATCAAACACTAAAATCAGAACTTCATTGATTAAATATGAAAGGGAGCATCTTTAGCAAAATGAAAGCCAAGCTTTTAAATCTTCACTGAACATTAGTTAATCTTAAACCGTCTTGGCACTAGTTTCTTCTTAATCTTTTGCATATCAGGTGTTTACAGACTAAGTAGTAGATGAGCTCCAAGTACACTATGTCACTTAATGTCAGTGAGCTAACCCTGTTTATTTGGCTGTATGCTTAGCAATTGAAATCATCTCCATGAAAGTGCTCAGTATGCTACAATTAAGAAGCATACTTGTGGAAGACACAAGTTCATTTTTTAAAAAGACCATCTGTTTCTTGGTATGCTACTAGTGCAGGTTTTCCTTTCATCTTTCACCTTCCATAAGAAAAAAATCCACAGCTTTCTAAAGCTTTGATATTATTTCATTCTTAGGTTTTATAGACTGCTCATTCTCCAGATTTCCAGCTGTGGTTTTACCCTCATCCTTGCAAGATCATTTTAAACCCTCAATAATCTTGGAAATTAGATGGGAAAATAGGGAAGCCTCCTCTCTCATATTTGTTCTCTCTCAGCAAGCTGACAACTGCTGAAAACAACCAGTCAAAATGGTGAGAATAGTGGTGGTGATAGTAATCTATTCATATTTGCAAGTTAACAGGATAAAATAAATACAAATTTTTAAAGTGAACATTTACTAGTTCTTTGATGAGTCTTTAGGAAAGAATAGAAATCCCCTGACAGGCTGTGAAATAGGAAATCCTGTGTAGGATTCTTACCACAAATGTTGCTGTGTCTTAGTGACACAACTTTGCTCATAATGAAAGACTAAATTTTTAGTGTACTGAGAAACTAGTTTCACTTTCTGAAGTATTTTTAATTCAGAAAATAAAAACTTCTTTAACCATTTATGTTTGAGATGCTTTCTCATTCAATCTATTCTAAGAGTAAGTATATACATTGTGGAAGATAGGATAAAGAGAAAGGTAAAATATTTTTGGTTAAATAGCACATTTTATGCCCAGGAGCCAAAAGAAATAGAATAGCTTATTTAAGAAGTTTATTTTCTTACATAAGAATGAATAAAGATGTTTATATAGCCTGGGCCCTAAAATACAAATAGCAATTTTAGACCTGACATCATTTAAAATGATTAAACATCATGCCTATTTATTGTTGACTTTCTTGAAGGAAAGAATGGCCTTGTTAGAAACTATATTTTCCCAAATCGATTTTGTGTGATTTTTATCTCGTGAAATTATATTTCAAAAGTAAGTAGGAGGTAATGCAGCTTGGAGAAAATACAATGTCAGAAAAGAGGTTGGAGTGACCCCACCCTGCCCCATTACAGAGCTCACCTGGAATGTGGATATGGTTGACTTCTTAAGGTGATTTCTTCTCAACTCAGAGTCTTCCCAAAGTTGGTTGTAAATTTTGTTTCACACTTTAAAAACAAGACCTTAAAACATGTTTAGGTAGCCTTACACTTCGTAAAGCCTTGTGAAAATGAAGGATTGCTTATTATAGTCCCAAACCACCTAGTCTTTATTGAATAAATACAGGCATAACACCTGGGATCTGGGCTTTGTGTTTACTGTACCACCTACACTACCCTGTGTGGCTTAGGTGAGGTCTGCGTCACACATAAGATCTTTAAACAGCCAGTTTAAGTTCTAACTAAACTGCCTCGTCTGAGAAAGAAAAATCTATCATGTGAGCAAATAAAATATTAAATAAGCCTTTACACAGTGAGAGAAAGTATCTGCATAAAGTTGAGGTAAGAAGTCCTAAGATGCCTACTGGTAAGAGCAAAGAGTAAAGTAAAGTAAAGAGCAAGTAAAACCAAGGTTGTTTCTTTGTCTGATGGCAAATGAGTAAAGATCTTTAAACCAATAGATGTCAGCCTGATTGAACACAGACAGGCAGGGGAGACAGCAATAACGATGTAATGTTTGGATAGTCCAGTTTGGATTAAGGTATTTTGTTCTAGCAGCTGAACAAGGCATCAGACAAGGCCAGAGTAAACACAGCTCTCCTGTTTATTGATTTATTATAAGTGCCAAAATTACTTTTAGTTTGACATGCAAAAAGGTACATTCAGGTTTTTAAATTGCATGTTCTAGGACTAGATTACATAAGAACAATGTGGTTCACTGTAAATTTCTTAGAAGACGCTAACAGGAGTAGGAATCTCATTACTTTCGTAAGTTTTTGAAGAAAAGAAGACTGTTGTATATTTTTTGCAGACTACTGGTAGAAATTTTTCTTCATGTATAAAGAATAAACCATTCCCTACCCAGCTACCCGGTCTGGGAAAATGTTCTTATGAAGTAGCAGTCCTTTAAAATGAAAACACCAAAGACATATTACCTAGGGTTCTTTTTTTTTACTGTTGGCACTGAATACAAATCAACATTAAATCTGAGACCATTTTTAGTGTCAGATTCCCAGATCTAAAATAGGGTATACAAATAAAAAAAAATTGGCAAAAATGTTTTACTTATGTTTTATGCAGCTTGTAATGGTTGAGACTCTTCATTTAGAATTCAAACATCCCCCTCCAGATTCCATATGGAATAAATTTTAGGGACTGCCAAAAATAATGAAGGGATGCTTGGGCCTAAGAAAATAATATAGTTTAAATTTTCAATTATAGTAAGCAACTAGTTTTTTTCTATACAAAAAGATACCTTATTGTCCTATCCATTAAAGACTGAAACAGACTTCAGTATTTCATCTATATTTGTTTTTAAAAGCATGAACCAGGTAAGTGGAGTTTTGTCTGTTAGGAATCTTTTGGTTTCAGTTAATAAAAGTACCAAATCAACCTGATTTAAACAAAAAACAAGGGAGGGAAGGCTTTGACTGGCTCTCGAGTCTGATGAGGAAGTTATAGTTACATGAGAGGGTCAGACTAGCCATTAGCAGTTCTCAGGCTCCAGCTCTGTTTTTTCTGCAATTCTGCTTTGCCTTACTCAGTACAGTGGTGTTATCCTTAGTTGGACTCTGTGGTAGCAATAGGCTGTGGTGCTTTTAGACTTAAATCTTCATAAATACCACCCTGAGGTTTAGAAAAAACATGTGTCCCAGCACTCCCACCAAAAGTCCTGGGGTTTACTGTGGTGGGCCTGGATGAAGCCAAAAGCATGCTCATCGCTGTGGCCAGGTGGGATGGCATACACAGATGTGTTTAAGCCACCCATGGCCTAACTTCAAATGTGAGGATCCCACCTAAGTACAAATGAGAATTTGGCAGTGACTTGATTCTTAAAGGAAAATATGTGCTTTTTGGACAAAAGCAAAAAGGGTAGTAGTTGAAAAGTTCAGGAACAGTCAGCAAACATCCCTTTCACCTGTATAACCTAAAAGTCATGGCTGTCTAACTGTCATCAGTGGCAGGGACATTTATCTTACCCATCGTTTTCTTCCCCATCCAGAAGAGAGAATTCATTAAACTTCTTATCTGGGTATCTGTGTAAAAGAGGAAATTTTGCAGTTTAAAGGAGTAGGTTAATCAGCAGATATAAGAGGAGCCTACCCCCCAAGACTTTGTAACTTATAAATCCACTTAAATTGACTCCACTGTGATTTGAAACACTGCTCTGACTTCAGTAAAGCGCTATTTGTAGGGTTTAGAGAAAAACTAGATTTTGACAGAAAAATTATCAGTTTTACACTTAGGTTTTCTACAAAATTTATAGTGAATTACTCTTGTAGAACATGGTTGCACAAAATAAAAAGAACATGGTTGCACTTTTACACTTAAATCATTGTGTAAAACACCCTTTGCACTAAAAACCAAAAATTTAATAAAATAAAATATTGGAGCCAGGCATTTAGCTCAGTGGTGCTGCTGCCTACCTTGTAAGCACAAGGACCTGAGTTCGATCCCGGGTACCAAAAATTAAAATCTAAAGTCTTTCTCTAATTTTTCCTGCTTCTCTACATGTGATCATTCACATATGCCAGTTTCATTCCTATCCAGCATATGTTCATGAGCTTTTTAAGAACTATCCTAAAATTGCCGTGTCTTTGTCCTAATTTGTATCTGATTTCTACCTAAGCCTGATCCTGTTTGCATACTGATCAGTGACACTATTGCCCTTAGCAAAGAGTATCCCTCCCATATTGTTTATGAAGCTAAGTATATAGTGCTGTCCCAAAACACAAAAGGGGAAGAATCTAGGGATAAAAATGTGTCCTTTTATTCTTCCCACTCCACACCCCCAGTCTCCAGGGTGCAGTGCAGTCCAAGCTTAATGATCTGCTTCACTAAAGATTTAAATGTTTTCAGGAGGACTCTAAACCTTTTGTATGTAACTAATGCTCCCTGAGGACAAGAGACACTGTCGTCATTGCCATGATCATCCATTGTCAATGTCACTACCATCTCTCTGTGGTTCTTTTCCTTTGCTCCCATACCAAAAGAAAATCTTATTGCACTTATCCCAGTGTCTTCACCTTACTTTCTCTCATTTCTTCTCTGCCTGGCTCCAAGCTTCAACACACCACTTCTACACTTTGCCTACTCAAAATGTTCACTAAGGCAACAAAAACCAGCCTCTCTTCAACCTGCCATTCCATAAAATGTTACTTTCTCTTTTTCCATCATGTTTGTTTGCTTCACAGTAATGTAGTCCACATAAGCTTTTTTTTTTTTTTTT